TACAATGCTGATGTAAGACATCTGACTCCTTAGCTGTTATAGGTAACTAACTGGAAGTATAACAATGCAGTAAATTGCAAAACTATGTGTGGTACAAACCAGTGTGTTTTTAATTACAACAATAAATTAACATAATATGGTAAGAAATTCTAGTTTGTTATATCAAGCAGCATAACAAGCTGTTTTGTACAGATTCAATTTAAAGGTGGTTGATGATACCAGAAGTATTTATTTTCTTAGTTATATACTTTTTAATATACTTAATTTCTTTGGCGCACACACACGCATATATATATATATATATATATATATATATGTAACCTTAAATATATATATATATATATATATATATATATGTAACCTTAAATATATATATATATATATATATATATATATATATATATGTAACCTTAAATATATATATATATATATATATATATATATATATGTAACCTTAAATATATATATATATATATATATATATATATATATATATATGTAAAGTGTTTGCAACCTTTACCTTATATTGTTTCTGCTCTTAATGCTCTCGCATTCCTCTCTTTGCAGCTTTGTTTCTAAGATTAACAATGACAGCTTTCCCTACCTTCTGTCACCATCTTTTTCTTCCCTCAGCCCTTTCCTTCTCTCCACCTACCTTTTTTTTTTCATTGTCTCATCATCCGTCACTCCTCTATCAGGGTTTCAATCTCCTTTGCCTTTTTTTTACATTTCAATCACTCGCTCTTTCAGCTTTTGCTCTTAAAATGTATCTACAGTCATCTTTCACTGTCTGTTAGCTATTCTTCCCATACATTAATCTCCCTGACTACCATATCTCAGTCCAGACAGTCCAGTCACACACAGAGCTGTCATTCCATCAGTCACAGAGTCAAGAAAACAGTTTAGAAATGCAAAGCTCAATGTTTGTCGCCTGCAAAATCCAGCGATTGCTCACTAACCAAGTAAAATCATTACTGTCACCACACATAAGGTGCACAATTTTGTACATTTGGGAGGCCTACACATTTATTTCAATCCACTGAAGGGAATTAATCTCCTGTGTGCAAGCAGAACTAGTGGTTTGTGGGTAATGAGTCGCAGTCATGCTTCAGACCACTGCATACTAACTAATCAGTGAGAATGATGCAGTGAAGGGTGCGTTCAACAGCATGCAGGAGTGTCATAATTGAACAGTGAGAATTTACTAGAACAATGTGTAAACATTTGTGAATTTTCTTTAATACGGTGAAATTTGATGTAATAATTTACCACATCACCATAAAGTGGCCTTCTTTGGGAAATGTGGGTGATATTCTACTTACCAACACACATGGAGAGGACAGTGAAAAATGCTCACAAATTACAAAATATAATCTGGATTAACGGTGCAGTTATTTTGAGAAATGATGATCGCTAGCATTTGTATTTGTATTGTGTTTAATTTGACATTATTTTTCAGAAATGTGTGTCCATTTATATATAACTTATTGAAACTTATTTGAAACTTTTCAAATGTGCCATTGGTCTAACCTTAATTTGGAGAGTAAATGTGTTTACATGCATCTAACATGCAAGAATAAGATGTATATCAGATGCATGTGTGCATTTATATATATAACATATATAACAAACATACTACTTTTACTTTGAATGTGATTAATCAAGATTAATCGTTGCTCAGCACTAATTTAATTATAAAATTTAAAATTGCACATGTAAAATTATGTTTAAAATACATATTTTAAATTGTAATATTTCACAATCCTGGTATTACTATATATATATATATATATATATATATATATATATTATATATAATATATACATTATTTTTTTTATAAATAAATGCAGCTTTGGTCAGCATGAAAGCCTTCTTTCAAAAACATTTTTGAATAGTAGTGCACACACATTAACATATATTTAAACAATACTTTCAAATGTAATGCATTACTTCTAAATTTCACTGCAAATTGTGTGCAACTCCAAAGACTTGCCTTTTATAGGGCAAAAAGCTCATAGTTTGCTTAACCCCAACTATTGAGTCGAAATTCCTTTCATGCTGCAGTGAATTTATCTAAATAAATACGTGAAATATGTTGACAATGGAGGCTGTAGCTCATTTCCTTCATGGGGCCAAAGTTTGAGTGGCACTGCTATGGTTACAGCCAAGTGTGCGGGGTTCTCAGCATTTGGTTATTTACAGAAAGTGCTGAGTGGGGCAGAATTTGGATGATTGTGGATCGACGGGCACTAAGCTGAGGGAGATACAGGAAAAGCCAACACACAGCTGCACAGTTGTAGTGCCTGACTTCACACAGGCCCGCATGCTCCAGCACTTCCCGTTGGAGCGCCCTGACCTCATGCGCCACTTCCTGCCCAGCACTGAATCAACAAGCATCGATAAGAGCAGGAAACCAGTCTATAAGGTGGGCAGAAGGGTGTGTGTAAAGAGGTCAGCGCTCCGGCGGCGGGTGCGTAAGTCGCCAGGTTCATCAGGAAAGATATCAAACAGACAAAAACAAAGGGAGGGAAAGTTGAGGGGAGAGAGAGTGACAGGTGAAGACGTCTGAACATCCGAACAGACAAAAGCTAGCATACTTACACGTCCTACGAGGGTTGAGACAAAGGCAGGAAGCTCAGGACTTCCCGTCCTCAAGGCTTGAGGAACTACAGCGTGACTATGACCTTCCACGGCTAAGACAGCAAAAAGAGCTCAGTTGGGCTTTAGAGACAGGCATGACTGTGCAGAGAAATGTGTCCTCAGAGACACATGATATCACTGCAAATGACCCAAATAACATGCCACTACATTTCCTGTTGGACCTTACAGTCTCCAATGCAGTCTGCTCATTGTCTTAAAGCTCCATTATCTATTTGGGGTTGTTTGATTCAGTGCTTAAACATCTGAAATGGTCAATTAAAGGCTGTGGGTTCGAACCTGCAGTGATGCAAGACACTTAAACCGGAAACAAAAATAGACATTTTTTATATTCTTTCATCATTTTTGTCCATCCATTGAAAGTCCAAGCAAACAAAAAGGAATCCTAAAAGTAATCCGTATAAATCAAACTTATCAATCAAGTTTAATCCAAGTTCTCCAAAGAGATAATTCATTTATATGATGTTTTAATTCAGGCTTTTATTCACATTTAACACTGATCAATGCACATACATATACACATAAAATATAGTAAACACAGAAGCTTAACTGAACTTGCTTGACGTGAGAACAATTGGTGTTCTTTCTCTTAAAAAATATCTGAATTTGTCTTCCAAAGATTAACTAAAATTAAACAGGTTTGGAACAAGGTGAGGGTGAGTTGTAATTTTTGATAGTAGAATCTTAATTTTTGGATTAACTGTCCCTTGAACATATGATTTCTCTAGAAGGCCTGTCACTATAAAAACGGTCTAAACCAAAATATCATCAAAATTCTAATAATGTGGGGAAAGCTTGAGAGAAACACAATCCAGGAGAAAGACTATATGAAAATGGAGAATAGAGGTACTGGAGTGTGTGAAAGTGGAAGTTAAGAGTAGAGACCTAATTGCGGAGTAGGACAAGACTTGATGGGCAAGTGGAATGAAATGACGTGTGGACTCCCACAAAATAAAAATCTCTCAAATAAAAATATCTAAAAACAAATAAATTATTATTAAAGTCCCCGTGAAATCAAAATTGAACCTATTTACTTTGTTAGCGCATATTACTAGTCTTGTGGTGAACAATTAATCCGTGCAAGTGAATATATATTAAAAAAATGTTTTACCTTAGTAATCTTTAATCAAAATCTGAAAAGTTACTTCCGGTCTGGAACGGTTTCTTTTTCTGATGACGTAGGTTTCACAGTTTGGGTGGGGAAACGCTTAACCACTCCCCTCAAACCGTTAGTTTGCTATGAGCGAGAGATGGAGAGGAGGAGCGCTAGAGTAAAACCCTGCCCTCTGTTCAATATTCCGTTTCACTTGGAAATACGTCACAGCACTGGAGAAAAATCGTTTGCAACTTCCGGTTCACGGGGACTTTAACCTATTGCACAAAAGCAACAGGTTTTACAGGCGCAAACATAAGCCCTGGTCTGAACCTTGTCAAGCCTGCTGCTGCTTCTGATTGCTTTTAGAGGGAAAAGTTGCGCATAACTGCTGGTCTGGGATCAGTTTTCTCTGTAATAATAGCTTATTGATGAAACTTTTGGCAAACAATCCAATGAGTATTTGTGTTTGCACTCTGAAGTGCGTCAAAGGTTTCTATTTACAACGTTTTGCTGCATTGAGCAATGAAACCAATCCCAAACACATCTGTTGATTTCCTGAACACATTGGCTAATCAGAGGTGTTTAAGTTTAGCTTTTACCTCTCATTGTATCAAATGAAATTCTAGACACATATGTAAATAAATAACTAACTGTGCAGTGTAAACATCGTCATTGATTATAACGGAACTGTGTGAGATCACGATTAACTAAAATGGGTGAACTTTTTTTATGAAATTACAAAGGGAGCGCCCTTTGCACGCTTTCTGCCTTGCCAAATCACACATGGAGCAGCCAACGCTTGTTTTTTCTGTTAAAATGAGCAGTGTTTTGTAATGTGGATGCGTTAATAACAAATAATTTAATTTATGCTGGCATGTGTATGTTGTGGCTACACTGAAAAATCCGTCCCACACAGGTTTCCTGCAACATTGCTTTGAAACTACAGCATCATGCTGAAACCGCATCTGTGCAATCCAACTCACATATAAATTATATAAGAAACACTGCACCATCTTGCACACGCAAACCAAGCCACTTGCAGTGTTCATTATTAGGGTGTTTGTTTTGAATATTCAAGCATTGTGTTTTATGCAATTCGTGCACTAGGATGGAAGAAAAGATCAAGAGAGGAAAAGACTTTAAGAAAGGTTTATTAGCAATGAATAGGAAGAGGTGTAGATGACTGAAGAACTGATGACTGTAGCGCTGCATTATTTACTGTAGTTAGACAGAGAAGACTCTTACCAGCTCACGTGGAAGGAACATGTCTTCCTGTCTGGCCACAACCAGACACACACTGTCCCCATGTTTAGTACTGCGTAACATGGCCACCAGTTCCTCTTGAGAGCGGCCTGTAATGTCCACACCGTTCACCTGAACACACGCATGCACACGTTTCAATGGATTCCAATTGCAACTTCACACTGATGTGAAATAAAATAGTTTTTCCATTTAAAGTAGTCACGTATTACTATCTTACACTAGAACGAGACTCACTTCTAGTATCCTGTCACCAGACTGCAGGCGGCCATCTTTGACAGCAGCTCCTCTTGGTAAGATGTTTTTCACGAGGATGGGGCCGGGCCCGTGCACTGAAGAATCTCTGGTCACAACGGTGAAGCCCAGACCTTCAGGACCTGCGAGGAGATCAGAGAGTTTAAAATGATTGACATTCGAAACCCACTTAGTCCGAAATAATGCGCTAATTTGAGTGTGAAGCCTATTCTCTACGCAGTCAGCACGCTTATGCCAGCGAGGAGTCTGTGAAAGAGCCCACCATCTACAAAGATTTACGTCATACTTGAAGTATCATTTGGGTATATTAACAACTGCTATGTAAAAGAAAAAAAAGAAATGTAATACTTTTATTCAGCAAGGACGCATCAAATTGATCAAATAACAGTAAAGACATTTAAATTTGACAAAATTGTATTTCACATTTAATGAAATGTAGCCAGCACTGCATGCCTGCATTATAAACAACTCAGACCTCAAATAATCATTAGACAGTCTCTATAAAATCCCTCATAGACTATACTGTACATTAGGGTGGGTCTGTCAGAGGCCTGTCAGGGAGAGTCGGGCTGATAAAAGCTGTCCTTGTGCGAGACTGAGATTAGAGTCCCTGGCTTCAGAAACTGAAGTTTAATTTCACATATGAGCACATTTCAAAAAGGCGGAGTGACAAGGACATGCAAAAAGAGATACAGAGTGAATGTATATGAAAGACCGAATCAGAGACTTTGTGTAAGCAAACATCGAAAGCGAGAGGGAGAGATAATGTTAAAAACCATACGCATTTCTTAAAGCAAACAACACCTTGACCCACAACAGAAAGGTCATTAGACATATAAAAATGACCTCCCGAAACTGACATTTACACTCTTCAGATGAAATTCAACAGTTCCACAAATCTTGGTTTAAAAAATAAGCATCTAACAAGAAATCATGCGTGTGATTCCTTTCAGCCCAGATATTAGAGGAGGCTACTGTCTAACACAGGTGGTGGTCCATTTAAACCGTGCTGCCGCCTTGACCTGTGCATATTGCTTCTTACGGCGTTCTTGATGCTGTCAAGGTGACTGATAGGTAGATTAGAGAACGGGCTATAGCCCCCCGTGTGACACGAGGCACGTCTTTGGGCGGATATTTCCAGTCCTGTCCCTGAGCTCAGGGATAAAATGATGGACAGAGCATGTGGGTGAAGACACTAAAGGGTAGATGGCCTCAGGGCCAGTGGTTGTTCTTTAACACGCTATGCATCAGACTTCAGAGGACAATACATATCGAATCCAGTTTGTGGAAAAATTGACGGCATTTTATGCTCGTCATTTAGCACAATTGTTTTACGGTCAGCACTTTTTTGTTCCAGCAATGAATTTATATCATCATTAATGGCAGAATCAATAAGAACTTAATAGACTTTGCAGCCTGAAATTATAGCTTCATTCATTCGGTTAGACTGCCAAACCCCCCGACTACAAATTTGACCAATGTTAGAGTGAGGGAGAGAATCATATTAAAAGCTCAATATTTTTTTTTTATTTTTTTGTTTTAATGTACTATGTAAGAATTATTTTTTATTTTTTTTTTTAAACTGGGGCCCAAGGACACTCAGGGGGTAAAAAATAAAAACAAAAATAAAATAAAAATTAACTAAAACTATAAAAAATTAAAAATGTTACAAAAAAAGTCAGTAATCTCAGGTCTTACTACACTGTTAAAAACAAACGAAAAAAAAAAAAACATATTTTTTGAGTAACACAAATCCTACAATATTTAAAGCTACAGCCGCAGTTTTTCCTCTTTATCGCCATTTCTGTTCGAAATCTGCAATTGTAGTTATTCACGGAATTATCACTTTGCGCGAGTTGTACTTCGACACGGCACAGTGCGGATGAACATAATGTTTGAGGAGAGTGCATCTGTCAGTCACCACGCCAGTGTGTCATTCAGTATGATTGTTATTTTTGGAAGTATGACCAACATAATAATTTACCAAAAAATGTCATCTGAACAAGTAACTTCCATGCATTGAATAAAACATTGTTTAAATTGTGTTTAAACATGCATATGTCTATAAAAGAGTGTATATGTGTACAATGCTGACGAAACTTTTTTTAAATAAAAGTTGCTGATAACTTCTGGATTTGAAATATTAATAGTGAGTAAATGTGTTTGTGGTACCGCAGTGGATCAGTTGTGCACTATAAACGCAGCATATGTGAAAGCACTATAGCGTGTGCTGCCCCTGTACCTCAAACATGTAACACGTCACGTCTCTGGCATAGACTATAGTATTTAAAATAGCATGTATATGCATTCTCAATTTAATTTACAGAGTATCTCTGCAAAGTTTAGAGACTAAGATTAGTGTGTGTCTGGGTGGGGGGTGTGCGCCATCACGATGGACAATGATAACATCCATTGGCACAACCATAAATTAAATATAACTTTCTTAAACCCAAATTGGAAAGTGCTTGAACAATGTTTGTCAAGCTTGTTCAAAGAACCATGAACCATTATCGCACATGCACCTGTGTAATAGTCCTTCAGACGCTAACAGTTTACAGGCCGTTAAGGTTAGCGTTACAAAAACTTCAGACACTAAATAGACCTTTCTACTGACTCGGTTCACATCTGCAGTCCTCATGCCTCCTGCAGCAGGACTCTGGCATGTTCACGCTGGTGATCAGGGACCCTGGACATCTCTCTCACAGTGTTTTTCAGAGCAATAAACTGCAATGTCTGTAATGTAAAACACCCAATACAGGGAGACAAGAAGGACCATCCTTGCAGTGCCAAACCACATGTGACCATATGTCCCCCCAGAAATGTTCAAGAACATGCAAATGCCTTGGTTAAAATCAAGCAGGAACTGCCAAATCTGCAGATTTGAGGATGAGACCCACATAAAGCAGCTGGTGGACACACCAGATTGAGACACAGATACAGCTATTGATTTTGCTCAGGGACTCATTATTTCTCTAAATGCCAGTGAAATTTGTTTAGTTTATGTCTCAGTAGTTGAATCTTTTATGTCCACACAAATATGTATGCATGTTAAAAAATGCTTGAAAAGCAGCTTGTTTTTTTTGCTTAGTTTATATGTACACAGATACCAAAATTGTACATCAACTTATTGTTATTCATTTAAAATTTACTGAATAAGAAATGTGCAGTTGCCAGGAATTTATTGGCTGAATGAGGCATTTATCCTTTAGTGAAAAATCTGAATGCAGTATTGAATTTAAGTTGTCAACAATTCGTTTTTTACAGTGTATCTTTCCCAGTTGTTTACCTTTCTTAAGGTCGATTCTGAGTCTCTTTCCACCCTTTTTGTTTTGGATTTGAAGAGGTGAGGGTCCCAAGCTGTTTTTTAGGAGGGGGCTTTCGGCATTCTTGCCTCTGGGGGTGGGAGAGAGGCTGACGGGTAATGGAGAGCCCAGAGAGCGACTCTCAGGACTGCTGCTGGACTCGGCTTGCCATCCTGAGGAAGACTCCACAGGCCTCACCGTAGGCTTCACCTTCAGCGGCGGAGGGTCTTTCGTCCGTATGGATGCATCAGGGTTTTCGGAGTTGAAGAGGTGGCCGATCAGAGTCTTCTCAAAGCGTTCTTTATTAAAAACTGGAACAACTTCTAAACGAACGATGGGTGAACGCATGGCTTGACGGAATATTTCCTGTGCTCTGGTAAAAGACAAGGGAGAGAGAGATAAGGGACACACGATATTAAAAAAAGCAATTAAGAGACAATCATTTTTTTATAATTATTTGCAGGTTATTTGATGAAATAAATGAACCTGGAAACTAAAAAGGAGGGAAATTGTAATATATTGAATAGTCTTGGTTTAGATAAAACTCACTCTGACATTTATTCTGACAGCATAATTGGGGTTATGACTAATGAGTCCTTCGCATTACAAATGACAAAGCAATCCACCTCCTTCATTTTTGCTCGACTGATTTAATTTTAAAACCGTCCATCCATCCTGAGCCTAATAAGATTAATGTGACCTTCTACTAGTTAGAAGTAATTCTCCTAAGCAGAAATATGTATATACAATGTATGCATAAATGTACATAATGACCATGGAACAACTGGGTAATGTTTCAATAGGTATGGAAAGATCTTTAGACTGAACTTAGTTAAGTCTATACAAGGAGCATTTTATGTTCCTTTCTATTATGTCCCGATATGTAAAGCCATAGAATTCAATAGGATGTCCTTTCTTTTTCACATGACTGTATATGATGGATGTATAATCTTGTTGATCTGTTTTCTCTCTATCTTGAGTTTGCTATGAAACATGAGCAGGCAACATTTTTTTTTCTCCCTCAAGGCAAGGCATTACCAACATTATAAAACCCCATAGGAAAATCTCAAAAGAGCCAATGGTGAATTAGAGTTCCTGGTTCTGATGCCATACACCACTGTTTTTTTTTATTATTTTTATTTATTATTTATTTATTATTATTTATTATTATTATTATTTTTATTATTTTTATATACAAATACAATTTTAGACAGCAAAATTGTGAACTGTAGTGTATTTACATACATCATTTATCTATTCTATTTGGTGACACTTATATAGTATAGTATAGAATAGTATAGTATAGAAGTATAGAAGTATCAGGCTTCTCTGAAACTGACACAAATCTAACATAATACATTGAAAACTGACCCAAAACCAGATGATTTGCCGGGCCCTGACGGCTTTGGTTTGGGTAGCAGATCTCTAATCAGCATGACAGTGTGCAGTAATGCAGTGTAAGAGAAGGAGATCTGCTATACACAGCAAACAGAGCTCAGCAAATGACCATGACGGCTGAAAGGGCTCTGAAGCCATGAATTGAGTGTTTTTCTCCTTTTGAAACCAGTCCAAGAGTTGACCGCCACAAAGAGAGCACAACAATGGACACCATGCTTGTTTTTACAACCATAACATGAAAAGATAGGTCTAAAAACTAAGTTACACGACAGGAAGGAAATGATGTCAGGAAGTAGAGACAGAGAAAGCAGACCAGAAGGTGAAGCAGTAATGCTTTAGTTCAGAGACTCACTGTGAAAAGGATTTGTCCAATAATTCAGCATCATTAATTTTAACGATACACTCATCGTCATGAAAGATGCCTTCTCTTTTCGAGCGACTGTTCTCCTCCACGCCTCGAATGTGCAGGCCTAGAGCCCTGAAAGAGAGCAAACCATAAATTACCAACAAAATAGAGCACAGCACCAGCCAGCCAGCAAACAGCCATAACAGGCTGCACTAGTGTAACATAATAGAACAACAACACATGACAAATACTAATAATTACACAGTAATTGCATAGTGATTACAAAAGTACTATTCAAGTAATAACATCAATACTGTCCACACAAGTGTAGTGTACTTCTTAAATGGGGAAAAGACTATGCATTTGGTCTGAGTACATCACACTGTTTCATCTTATATATATATATATATATATATATATATATATATATATATATATATATATATATATATATTAGTGCTGTCAAACGATTAAAATATTTAAACACGATTAATCGCATTAATGTCATAGTTAACTCACGATTAATCGCAATTTATTACACATTTCTATCTATTCTAAATGTCTCTTGATTTCTTTTTGTCCCATTATTTTTTTTCTAATTTTAATGCTCTTATCAACATGGAAAAGTGGGTCGGCTTGCAAATATTTATTTATTATTATTATTTTTTTTATTTTATTGAAAACAACATTGGCTTATACTGTGTTCAAATTCACACTAAAATTCTCACTTGGAGCAAATAATCTCTCACACAATGTAACACTGTCCATCAATAAAAGGGTGAAAGAAATACCGACGAGGTCCTGATATTGACGAGGGGGCGGAGATCACACATAACACTTTGGTCTTGTCAGTGGAATTTGGCAAATTGTCAAAGTATAATTTCCATTCAGAATCTTACTGGCATCCATTTCGGCGTCCCGCGCTCATCATCCACTCAAAACGTAACGTCAACCAACTATTTGGCCGGCTCATAAGCCCAAACGAGTGTGTGTGGCGTGCCTGTTGTTTTGTTTCCGGTCTAGCTAGATCCGCTTGCGCTTTGGTCGACGAAGCAACAAAACGTCCTCGCGCATCACAAGCCATTGTAATTAATGGGTTTCATAGCGCAGCGCACGTCGCGTCCTGTTGCAGAAGCATGTGAAAGAAAACGACAAAGTTTGCTCGGCCAAAAAGACTGTTAATCGCACGATGAAAAAAATAATAAAATAACGCCGTTAAAATGGGTTTGCGTTAATGCCGTTAATAACGCGTTTAACTGACAGCCCTAATCTATATATATATATATATATATATATATATATATATATATATAGTAAAATGTATTTTAGTTCCTTGCTATTTTTCTTTCTTTAATCTATACATCCATCAATCTATCCATCCTTCAACCAATCAATCAATCAATCAATCAATCAATCAATCAATCAATCAATCAATCTATCTATCTATCTATCTATCTATCTATCTATCTATCTATCTATCTATCTATCTATCTATCTATCTATCTATCTATCTATCACTTAAAGTCCCCGTGAAATCAAAATTGAACCTATTTACTTTGTTAGCGCATATTACTAGTCTTGTGGTGAACAATTAATCCGTGCAAGTGAATATATATTAAAAAAAAATGTTTTACCTTAGTAATCTTTATTCAAAATCTGAAAAGTTACTTCCGGTCTGGAACGGTTTCTTTTTCTGATGACGTAGGTTTCACAGTTTGGGTGGGGAAACGCTTAACCACTCCCCTCAAACCGTTAGTTTGCTATGAGCGAGAGATGGAGAGGAGTGCTAGAGTAAAACCCTGCCCTCTGTTCAATATTCCGTTTCACTTGGAAATACGTCACAGCACTGGAGAAAAATCGTTTGCAACTTCCGGTTCACGGGGACTTTAATGTATCTATCAATGTATCCATCAATCAATGTAGCTATCAATCTATTTATCTATCTATCTGTCCATCCGTCCATCCATCCATCCACCTATCTACCTCAGCTGTATAAAATATCAATAAAACCTTCTCGCTATTTACAGACTGAAAACCATTAGCTTTATGTTTTGCTTTATTGTCCTCCTTTTGCCCTCCTGAGCGCAATACAAAACTCACATACACAGACCGCTTGGCAAAACACAAGACAGCAGCACTATGGTTGGCAGTGATAAAGGCTATCAGGCTAGAGAAACTCATAAAGCAGGAGAACGGCAGCATGTATTAATCCCTCAGTCTTCATCCGCAGGCACCTCACACGAGCCCATTCAATGAATAACACATTCATGCATTACAGCGGGCCACAGCAGTGTCTGGCAAATTATAGAATATACCTTTGCAGAAATGGAGATTTGGGGAGACACACTGGACTGAAATTGTTTCTTCAGTGAAGTGATATTTGACTGGAGGGATAAAGGTGAAGTTTTGGGTGAGTGTATGAAAGAGACTAAGCATATGTGTTGTCTGCTGCTGACAGCCAGCAAACACAGCAGGAGCAACAATAACTGGTGTGTGTATGATTCTACTCATCACTAAAAACATTTGCATGTCCACAGCTGCAGTTTAAAATCATTACTCCAGTCTTCAGTTTCACATGATCCTACAGAAATCATTCTAATATGCTGATTTGGAGCTCAATAGATATTTCTTACGGAAGCAATAAGGTACGAGAGGTTGTTCTGTATCGTGAATAAGTAACGACTGAAGGGCGTTGTTAGGCATGATGCGAAGCAGAGTATGGTAACCGCTTTTATAAAACGGTTGCCGCACAATAAAAATATTAAAGTAAAAAAAAATGTATTAATGCAACTTTCATGAAGTAAAATTTCTAAAAGCCTTTCCACCGCTAGAAAAAAAAAATAGTCCCTGACCGTGAACAGCAATAACATTCCAATGTGTAATATGCATGAAAGCTCAAATTAAAACAACACAGGAACTGCAGTGTTGCGCAGTGATGCATAGAACCATTGGGTGAAGTGGTCATTCAGGGTACAACATCTGTCACTTGGCTGTACCCTTTCAAAATGTGCACCTTTGTACCTTATTTAACCCTAAAGAGTGCATATTACCTTAAAGAAACATATCAATACCTGAAGTATTAGTAGCATTTGAAAGGGTACTGCCCCAGTGACAGCTTTTATAACTCTTTTGTACTATATTTTATTACATCACATTAAATTCATGAAAAAAATTATATAAAAATGTATCTAAAGATGAAGAAACAGCCTAACTCCAAGAATACGTTACCACTGCATCTTATTCAGCATTTTCAACTGGTCCTCTAGTAAAAATGAGTAGTCACAAGCTCTAATATAAACTAATAACGTCTCATATTATCACCTCCAGACTAAACAAAAAGATCAATAACAAAAACAAGCATGCGGAAAAACTTCAATAACACACCGGAGGTCAGATTAGCGGCATACAATGCGTATGATGAGAATGGTCTGGAGCGAATTAGCCTTGTGTTGGTGTAAGACGCGAGAGTGTGACCTGCTAACGCTCAGGAAGGATCTCTTCACCCCTCCATTAGATGTGCTAAAGGCTTCCCGTCCACATGAAGTCACTCTGCATTAGCCAGCAGGCTTGTTTACGTTATCACTATCCTCTCGTTTGGAGAATATTAAGCCTAGTCTTAAGATGCGGTGACCTTTGACACGCAGAGAGAGAGAGAGAGGGCACGGCATGTCTAAAGGAAACAGATGGAGGTTACGGCCTGTGGGAGACATGAGTAAGGGGGATGAGGGAGAGAAACGAGAGGAAAAAGGCTCAATCCAACAGGGAGATATCTGTCTTTATTAAGACTCCTGTGCTGTCTCAGTCCCTCGTGACTCTCTCTGATGACTCAGTTTCGGTCAGAAAGAGAAAGACTTATTTAGTGCATGACAGACAGTAGGAGCGCTCGACCGTAAAAACATCTGGTCATTAAATGAGCCATAAGTTCAGGTGAGGTGAATGTTAGCTGAAGTAACTCAGAAATTGCACTTTGTGATTAGGTGACCTCCAATAGCCTGTCTTCCACCAGCCAAATCAGGACAACAATTATATTCTGCACAAAAACTCCAAACTATATACGCTAATGCAGCTAGGAATGTAACAGCAAATATGTTCTGGTCAATAATGATTAGAAGATTATATTCATGTTCTATATTCAATCTAAGCAAACACACAAGGGATGGGAGAACAATATGTAGAACTTTTATAATGACAGGCTGATTTTGTGAAAAACATTTGCACACGTAAATATTGTATTAAAAAATAAAATGACTTTCAGTTGCTATTACTAAAGTGCACTTGCTTGAATAACACATAATATATACATATATACATATTTGTATTAATTCAGCCAGTCTGTTCTCTACTTTGACATTGAAAGATCCATATCAGTTAACCACTAATTCAATATAAATATTGAATATAATAACCGATTTTAAATCTATACTATTTTGTTTACATAAAAAAGTTATACAATTTAGTTACGGTATACAATATTTAATAACAGTAACAGTATAATTTACTGGAAAAGTATGAAGCAGCACAACTGCTGTCAACATTAATATTGAGAAATTATTTCTTGAGCATCAAACCAGCATATCAGAATGATTTCTGAAGGTTCATGTGACACTGAAGACTGGAGCAATGATGCTGTGACATCAATTCAGCTTTGATATCATAGGAATTGATTTTTATACTCAATATATAAAATAGTTCACAATTGTATTATTTGTGCTGTGTTACTGCTCAAAATGCAGCCTTGAGCATAGAAGACTTAAAAAAAATATTACTGACAACATATTACTGAACGGTCGTGTACTACAAAATAAAAATAATAATAATGCTGATATGGCCATCAAACTACAGTACATCAAAAACTATAGCTAGTTATAAACAATGGAGAAAGTATTGTGGCAGTACATGTAACATTTAAATCTAAATTTGCAGAAACTTCTGTTTCGCAAATGGTCTCGCCCAACTCCCCCACCCTTACCGCTGAAGTACTTAACTTTTAACCCCTCTAACTCACCCCTACAAAACGCTGTGATGAGTTTCCCTGAGCCAGCAGCAGTCGATGCTGACCCCACAGCCCTGCTCCTGTCTTCAAAGAGAGCTGCGGGTTTATATACTGCTGACCCACTGGAAATACCAGCTGATGACCACAGGATGCCCAGCTCTACCACAGGAACACACTTTCACTTACTCTCGCTACCTGTTTCCCCCCGAAGTCCACAACATCAGCACATGAACTCACATATACTGTGGCTGTCCATATTTTCAAAACGCCTATTCAGTGTTCAACAACTTGGCTTGGATGAACAGTGAACTATACAGGTGCACAAAGAAACCAGATCATTTACATACAAAGTCTTAAAGTCACAATGAAATCAAAATAGACAACATTTAACTTCTCAATGCACATTTATGTTAGTTTATTGTTCAGGAAAAAAAGGGTTTGCCTTTGTGATGTTTTACCAAAATGTAGATTTTTTTTTTCTTCCTTCAAAGAAACTTTTGTTCTAAGTTAAAAAAAAAAAAAAAAAACATATTAAATTAAAATGATAAAAAACAAACAAACCAAAAAACATAATTTAATAGAAATTTAATTCAATTAAACAAGTAAAAATAAACAATTTTAAAGTAAATAATTACAAAATTAATAATAACTTTTTTATATATATTTTCGCCTGTATTTTAATAAATCTCCTGATATGGACTTGAAAATTAAAATAATCTTTTAAAATTAAAATGTAAAAAATCTATCCAGAGATATAAACAATGCGATTTTACTGCAATTTATTTGAGCGGCAGAATAAAATAAGTTAAAAATAAATATATAAATGTATATATATATATATATATATATATGTGTGTGTGTGTGTGTATATATATATATATATACATGGAATTGAAAAAAAGTTATAACAAATAAATAATGCACTAAACTAATGCAAAACACACATACAATATATATGCATGTATATGTTATGTAATGTTTTTTTTCACCCCACAGAATCTTCTGTTCTGGGTTGTGAAATTAAAATAATCATTTAAAATTAAAATGTGACCCCTCATTTGCTTAGAAAGATTAAATACATCAGTTTTGGAATAATTCAACGACCCCATGAATAATGGATGAAATTCAGAATATCTTTCCTATTAAAAAAAATGAAGTTGAGAGGAGACTGTAGAAGGGTTGGTCCCATAAATAAAATTCTTACAATACATTACAGCCATGAACTAAGATTAGCTAATTGCTAATCTGCTGCAGGTGGGAAAAATACAAACAAACAAACAAAAACACAACTATGAGTCATCAACTTGGTCAGTTTTCCCATAACTAGCACTAGCATATAGACTATATAGATCTAAAATCTAAAAAGACTATCACACCCCACTTCTGGTTCATGACTCAAAAGCAAGAGAGCAGCACAGAACATTCCCATAATCATTCCCATAACATTCCCCCAATCATTCCCATAACATACCCCCCCCCCCCCCCCCCCAAAAAAAAAAAGCTCTGAATGAATGCAGTGGAGCTTTAGATTTCTCTACTGCACATAACGGTGCTTTAGGTAAGACATGCATCATGAAGAGAGAGAGAGTGTGTTTGTGTGTGTATGTGTATGAGGAGGAAAGAGAGTGAGAAATGTGCAGTGTTGAACTAACCTTCCGCTGAGAGAGGAACAGTACGGCACCACGTGTATTCCTAGAGGCCCTTGTTCTCCTGAAATCTCCACCGTCTTTGTGAGGCTGCTGCACACACACAAAAACATAACCCATCAGTCACTTTATTAAGTCGTCAGACAGCACAACATAAACCTGTGTAAACTCACTGTCTCCTGGCCCTCAGATCTCCTACACACGCGGGTGCCGAGCCGCAGTACATGTCTGTGAATTAGTCAGCTCCCTACCACATGATACTGTTTTCCTACATTCCCTGCTGAAATAGTTTCCGTGATGTCTGCCTTTCTGACTAATTTTCAAATGTTCCTTTTTTTTCTGTTTTCCCATATTCAGCAGTTAATGTTCTTGGCATGTAGTGTGATGATGTAGAGGGAGTGGAAGTGGATAGCTGTGGACAGAACGGTCCGTTTCACTGAGGCAGCGATCATCCGCCTTTAATCCACAACTAATAGCTCTTCATGGAGGAATATTTGCAGAGTCATACATGACTGAGTACAGTTAGGATGGAGGAGAGAGAGAGAGAGAGAGAGAGAGAGAGAGAGAGAGAGAGAGAGAGAGAGAATGACTTTGTAAACATGGTACATCAAACTCGTATAGACCCCTTTTGCGCCGACGTCACAGTTACGTCACGGCGCTAGCTGGAGGCAAAACAAAGTGAAAACTGGAGGCGGTCAATGCAAAACAGCACAGATTCGGCTACATAATAAGGAGCTTAAATAATTGTTACTATTGTTAAATGTCATCTTGTTGTGTTGTTTGGTGCAAGAATTGATGAAAAATGAATATGCTGTATCTGGAACTTTTATTTCTAGAAAATATTCACATCATTAAAATCGCACTGTAATGTCACTCTTTACATTGTCGTGGTCTCGGCGCTGGCTCGGCAGAACTGCGGATCATACACACAAGTCTTGTACAGGACCATATAGGCATCTAAAGATTCATATGCCTCAGTTTCTCTTTAAAATCGGTTTCTCTATAAGGTAGGAGTAGAAGTCAGGCCACTCAACCGAGGTAACGTACGTTAATCCTGTCAGATCATCCATGCATTGAGTGAGCGTGTAGGCGGCTACAGGTCGGCCAATCTCGTTCTGTCCGTTAAAAATAACTTTTGGAAATAACAATCCTTCATGAAAACCACAAAAAAAAAGAATAATCATTCTAGGTTAATGCATTATTTTTTTTTTATCAACACTTGAATGTGGGTAATTTTCTTTAAATAAATAAAAAAACATTGAGCAAAAAGCTGAGAAAATCACATTTCTGCCAGACTAATTCAGATCTGATTCAGGACGATGATAAAAACATAGCTCGTCCTGGGTCGACATTTAATTCAGTAACAGTTTTGATTTATATACCGTTTAACGTTGATGATCGCATTATTTTACATTTGCATTATGTAGATGTGTGATAGCATCCCCTACCGTATAACAGTGAAAACACGTAACACAGTCTCATCCCAAAAAGTCATATAACTGACGTTTTGGGATGTATTTTGACCATACGTCAATATCCGCCTTTTTAGGGCCCCCTTAAACGTCGGTAGATGGCGATCCCGGGCCGTCATACAACTGACGCTTTACCTTCAACGTCAGTTAGGTGACGGGTTAGGTTTAGGGTTAGGTTTAGGTCTGGGGTAGAGTTAGGATCCCATAACCTCATCTACCGACGTTTAAGGGGGCCCTAAAAAGGCGAATATTGACGTATGGTCAAAAGACGTCCCAAAACGTCAGTTATATGACGTCTTGGGATGAGACCGGGTTGAAACACGTAAAGCCATAAATTTCCATCAATGGCGCGGAAATCATTGTCTTATAAATTATGGTAAGTTGTTCTATTGCATTATGTTGTTTTTATTGGACCACAAAAGGATTTTTTTTTTTAATACCCCGCTTGTCCATATAATGGCAGTGAATAGCGACCAGCATCAAGCTTTTTAAAAAAACACACGAAATTTTTACAGAATGATTCCATGTGACAAGTGCCGTAAATTGCTAGTGTTCTTGGGGTAAACGACAGGGTATGGTGAAAAACAAAGCAAAATTTCACATATTATTTAGTTGGACTTCTGTGCAAAGCTGCACGATTTGCGCAAATGTGATCCTATTAGCGCCACAGTTTATCCCAACTTGTCCAGAAAAATCAAGAGTTAAGAGAAAGATTGATAAATGGGCAACATCTTTGAGGGATGTGTTGACTTCTTTGGTCCATCAGGTGTGAGTGAGCATGAAGTGTTATAGTAAAACACTGCAATTTAAAGAATGTGTGGAGAGTCTCTTTTCCTGAGGCCTTTACTTTCAACACAAACAGGCATCTAGACCAATAATTTACCAGTGCGTGTGTGTGAGGTCTCAATGACTTCAGCAGGCTGACCACACACACACACAAACATAAAAAACACCCTTCCCCAGGCCCCTGTTTGACTTTCATTCTTTCATTTTCCTGAGGTATGTAGTGCAGATTGTGTCTGACTGTTATCCAAGAGCCTAATTGGAGAAAGAGCTGAGACTGTTGAGATGCTAATGCAGGAGAGAGCTGCCTGCCCAGAGCTCAGAGGACTCAACACCGATAAGCTACCACAGCACAGATAACTCTGTCCGAGAGAGAGAGACAGAGACAGAGAGAGAGAGAGAGAGAGAGAGAGAGAGAGAGAGAGAGGGTTTAAACACAATCACCAAGAGATGGAAACTGCAAACAACAACAACAAAGACGGGGGAAAAAACTGTGGTAAGCATGAGTAAATCCTGTGAAGTGCAGTTTCATCAACTCACCAGAAGTTTCGTTAATCAAGGTCGGCTCAAATAAGACATTTCAAAGAGACTCAACTCCTTGAGGAGGGGTGAAGGAGTCCTGAAATAATTGGGGTGATCAGCACCCTTCTATTTTGTATTTCCTCTTTTACTCTCCATTTCCATGATCATCCCAAGATGTTATATTCTAGATTACATACAGTGCACTATCCACTTATTCTTTGGACTATGAGCCATTTATTGTTCAAAGTGAATTTCATATTGTTTTTTGTCATCCACCTTCATGGCCTGATAGATACACTACACAAGGAAAGCTGCAACTGTTGAAATGCAAGTGCATAAAGTGTCTAGCATCCCACACTTTGCTTTTTCCGGTTCCTTAAGTGCATCATCCGGGTATTTGAAGTGCACTTGTTGGAATTTTCAGTGTGAACACGCTACTCACACTATCTATACAAAAGGCCAATTGGAATCAAATCATTCCAATTGATAAATCTGGATGTAGTGTTTACATGACCGCTAAATTAAGTGATAGGGTGTGCGTGTTTGTCACAAGATACAACCCGGAAGATTTTTTGACATGCGTTCACTGTACGAATATACAGAGATTCCCACTGTTTGCGCATACTAACCACTCTTACATTGCTTTTTTTTTTTTTTCTTTAAGAACAGACTTAATATGTATCTATTTCGGGTCCTGATTCGGAGGCGACGAGTACATGAAGCTTTGTACTGTTCTGCTTGTATTTATCAAGCAATAAAAACTCCCCTTCACGCACCCAAAACAATGTGTCTTTGGATGACAATCCGAAACAAGGACTGATGGGATGTTTCCCATACCTCATAGACAATGAGTAGGGAGAAAATTTTAGAACGACACAACAGTCATTTATGACAATTCATTCAACAAAAACAACAGCTTGTTTCACGCGTACGTCAATCGACATTTGTAGTACTTTCCAGTTTCGGTTTTCAATCCAATCAATAAGGTTTAAACCACTCCTTATAATCTGAATTAAATCGTAACTTTAATTCCAATTGAAATGGTTGCATTTAACTTTTATTTTTACAGTGCTACTAGTCCAATTATAATCAGATCAATTATTATTATCATTATCAATAATAATAATTATCGAATGATTTAAGGACTCGATTCACACCAGAATTCAATGCAAGCATGATTCAAATCAGCATATTAGAATGATTCCTGAAGGATCATGTGATACTGAAAACTGAGTAATGGCTGTTACAATTTATATTGTATTTAATAATAATAATTTAAAAAAAATGTCCACCATATTCCATCCTGGGATTATCTTCTATGAAAAGGCTACAATTTGAAGCAATATGGCCTAAATAGGGGACAGCATAATGAAGTCGCCTACCTTTTGTATCAGCCTACCAATGATACTAGAACTTTGGAACAGAGCTCAGAACCCTAATTTCTTTCCTCCATTACCTCACTCCTACTTTTCCTCTTTAGTTAGTCCAGCATCAATAGGCAAACAAATGAACGGTGGAAAAAAGCATACCACATCATCTAAAGACGAGGACCGCGGATAAAAGGATGGCTGTGAAGCAGGAAAGGGCCACTTGAGCAGGTGTCCTCTTTATTTACCTACTCTCTCTTCAAGACAGACAGAAGGTACAAAAAAGGGAAATAAAAGGCATATAGGAATAAAAGAGAGCAAATTACCAAAGCTCTCTCGTCTTTTCAACTCGCCATCTTCAAAGTGCTGAGCTTCACCAGCTTTGCACAAATAAGAGCTATGGTTCAGATTAACAGTCTCTCTTGTGATTGTGTACGGAGCCGAGTGTGGGTCCGCTTTACGCGAGTTCCTGGAGAAACATGCGATATTTCTCTTCTGAATGAAGGACTATTTGAATACAGATGCCGTTTCTTTATGCGACAGCGATTGTGTTGTGGATTCAGGGATGTCTGATGTAGGCTGGAGAGGATTGAGTAATGGAAAAAGTAAGTGAAGAGGTGTGAACAAGGCTGTGTGTTTACCTGTGAGTGTTTAACCCAGAGTAAAGCTCCCCTACAGGGTTGAAATAATCCTCCTATTCAGAAGGACTTTAATTCGGCCTCACAATCAGGGATCCAGTCACTCAACAGGGGTGCGGAAAGCACTGCATGTACTACCTGCTCTCAGTCCTCAGTCTCCTGCGACTAATATACCAGACTCACAGCATTAAAGGATGACTAATGTTAAACCTGTTTACCATCAGAATATATGGAGGTGCAGACAGAACTTACTTAAACAGCATTTTGCAAATACAAAACAATTGGGAAGTCACTTTAGAGCAATATTTCAT